GTATCCTAGAGCGACAAAAAAAGAGGGTGCTCAGAATATGTGTTGAGGTTTGGTGGAGAATGAGACGGAGAGGGAGGGAATTACTTCTAGTTACCTTGAGCTTTGGTTGTTCTATGAGGAAGAGAATGAGGATAAAAGAGCTGGTGTCTGGCGTGTGGCGNAATGGCTTCTCCACCGGACACAAGCAAAACCACCAAGCTAGAACGGTACAACAGCTACGTAAGAAGAGTGAACAGCACAAAGCTCTTAGCAGCTTCTTCAAAGCTTCTCTTCCGAGCCACTCTCTTAATAGCTCTGATTTTGATCTTCTTATTTACAATAAACTACCCCCCATTTTCAGATAATCACAATTCCCACCACCACAACCTCCACAAAACCCACAATTTCCTTTCCTCCGCCTTCTATGGCAGCGGCGCAACCTGGGAAAAACAAGTCCGCCGCTCCTCCACCCCTCGCCGTCCCAACGGATTTTCCGTCCTAGTTACCGGCGCTGCCGGATTCGTCGGAACCCATTGTTCTCTCGCCTTAAAAAAACGCGGCGACGGCGTTCTCGGCCTCGATAACTTCAACTCCTACTACGACCCTTCTCTGAAACGTGCCCGCCAAAATCTTCTGCAAAAACATGAGGTTTTCATTGTAGAAGGAGATCTAAACGACGCCGAATTGCTCACGAAACTGTTCGATGTTGTCCCTTTTACCCACATTCTTCACTTAGCTGCACAAGCTGGTGTTCGTTACGCAATTCAAAACCCACAATCGTATGTGAATTCAAACATTGCTGGGTTCGTAAATCTACTCGAAGTCGCAAAGAATTCAGATCCACAGCCCTCCATTGTTTGGGCTTCATCGAGCTCTGTCTATGGTCTAAACACCAAGGTCCCATTCTCTGAATCAGACAGAACAGACCAACCAGCAAGTCTCTACGCTGCGACGAAGAAAGCCGGTGAAGAAATAGCTCACACTTATAATCACATCTATGGCCTCTCTCTCACTGCCCTTCGGTTCTTCACAGTGTACGGACCATGGGGAAGACCAGACATGGCGTATTTCTTCTTCACCAAGGACATACTTCAGAACAAACCCATAAATATTTATCAAACACAGGACGATAAAGAGGTGGCGCGTGACTTCACGTACATTGACGACGTCGTTAAAGGGTGTCTCGGAGCTATTGACACGGCGGAGAAGAGCACCGGCAGTGGTGGCCGGAAAAAAGCTCCGGCGCAACTGAGAGTGTACAATTTGGGGAACACTTCGCCGGTGTCGGTGGGGAAGCTAGTGGGTATACTGGAAAACTTGCTGAGTGTGAAGGCGAAGAAGCATGTGATTAGGATGCCACGAAACGGCGACGTTCCGTTCACTCATGCAAACGTGAGCCAGGCGTACAGGGACTTCGGGTACAAGCCCACCACCGACTTGGCTACAGGGTTGAGAAAGTTTGTCAGATGGTACGTTAGTTATTATGGTATTCAATCAAGGGTAAAACAGGAAATTCACAATGGCAAGCCTGCTGATTCTGCATAATAATCATCATCACATGAGTATTTTTATTTTTATTTTTACTTTTTTGGATTTTTCCCACTTAAATTCTGTTTTTAATTTTTTTTTCTAATTATTGTTGATGTATTAAGATAAAATTAATATTCGTATTGTATACAAAAATCATAAAATGAGGTAGAGAGAGAGAGAGAGAGAGAGAAGTGTAGATCTGTGAAGTGGGTTTTAATAACGTGTTATTGGGTGCTAGGTAAAAGGGTTGCAATCTGTACAAAAAAGGGTGCAGATCAACCGTTGGATTTGAATCAAAGATTTCTATTTTATGAGACAGAATGATTACTTCAAGATTCTTCTTATTGTGGCCTTTATTTGTTTATTATTCACACTTCCATGGCTTATATTGAATTCTATAATTTTTGGGGGGGTCCTTATGTGATTATAAGTTTTCTTTTTATAGCTTTTTCATTGCAAGTGGAACATATTGGATCTTCATTGTGCTTTCAAAGATGCTTTCCATGATTGACGAGAGGGGTAGGACTGTCTGCAAATGATTATTGTGTTATCAATTAGGGAAAGGCTACGGTCCGTTGTAGGTATCGTACCACTTGCGTGATTGATAGGAGAAGTTGTAAAACTTATAATAGCACCATTCCGTGGTCTGCCACTCAAATTAGAATAAGGAAGGAATGTGGAAACTAAACTATATTGTGGTTTTACCCTACCTCTAACACCAGTACCGCTGATCCTAATGGTGGAACAGGGGCTACCCACAAAAAAACTTACTTTAGGATGTTTCATAAAATTAATGGCCTAAGAATTCAGTTCAAAAGTAGCACTTATGCTGGTCTCCATATGGTCGTGAGATTCTCCAATATATATATACTAGTTATTGCTTGTACCTGAAGGTACAGAGTAATAAAAAATTGTAAAGAATAAACATATTTGTATCCATATCCAAAATTAAATTAAAAACATAGAAAAGAGATAAATAAATTTAAACATCAGTTTGTAGTGGAGGTGAGAGGTGGTGGGCGGCAGTAGTGGTGGTAGGAGACGGTGTTGGTTGTGGTGAGTGACAATAAACGTGATGGCGGCGATGGTGGTGGTGTTGGCGGCGACGACGATGGTGGTAGTGGTAGTGGTGGTGGTGGTGACGGCGACGACGAGTGATGGTGATGGCGGCGACAGCGAGTGGTGCTGATGACGGTGGCGGTAGTGGCGATGGTAATGGCAGTGGTGGTGGTGGCAGTGGCAGTGGTAGTAGTTGTGGTAGAAGTAGTGGTGGAACGGTTTCAAACACTTTTTTTTTAAAAGTATTTATGAGAAATAATTTCTAGAAATATTTTTAAAAAATTATTCCAAACATACTCTTAGAGGCTTATTTGTTTCTATTAAATTTGGAGTTTTAATATTAGCTGTTAGATTAATTTTAAAGTCAAATTTAAAATAATCGCAATCACAAATAGTAAAAATTATTTTATTTATCTTTTAAAATTTAAATCGTAAATTACTTTATTATATATAGATAGATATATGCTTCAAAACAACTGATTGGGTAATCTGTAAAGATTCTACATCGATAAGTGGCTAATCACTTAACTGTAGTGAAGAACCTGATGCCTCGTCCAACCACTTCACTCAGAGATTCTATCTAGCTTCCATGAGACAAGTTTAGAGATGCCATATTCATGGCTGGAGTAAAAGTGTACGTGTCGAAGTCCTACTCCCTTCCTTGATTGTTTAATGTATAGTTTTACTTATATAGGTATTTTAGGAATGGGTAATATTATTGAGATCTAAAAATTTGATCTCATTTGTTAATCTAATGAAATGATTTTATTGAAATCATTGGATGAAGAGCAAATTCTAATGCTCGATGGAGTTCACAGTTAATTTTAAAGTTATAGTGAATTAGGTCAACAAATGAGATTAAAATTTTAAATTCAAATAACATTACTCTTTAGGAAAATATTATGATTATTGAATTGAAAGTGCATTTTATTTAGAGTAATGTTACACTAACCAAATTTTGGAACCAAATTTGAAGCGCAAATGACATGATAGTTGATTATTTTAAGTTTTTATTGAGACTCAAATGACATCACACCAATTAAAGAAGCCCAAATCAACTGTCATCTCATTTGAATTTTAAATTTGATCTCAAACTTTTCGTTACAAAGAATAAACTAGTTTCAGCACTCGGAGAGAGAGAGAGAGAGACTATCCACAATTCTTTAGTCTCATTCACACAGCATACAGAATGAAGCAGCAGTTTTAGAAGGCTGTGGGTGCAATTTGAGTAGAGCATATCAATTTCGAAGTGAACATTTTACGTAGTTGGTGGTGGGATATTGCAACTCTACTGATCACGAATATTGGTTCAATTCGCAACACCAAAAGTTGCCGCAAAGTTTTCCTAAATTCACCACTTATTTTGCCTTATGCAAAAAATGATAAACCAAAATGAGAGATATATACACCATCTGGCTTTTGGCAGTATGACACACTAAGATGATTAATTTGTTGCACGAAGAGCCATTTGTTCACTTTTCAAGTCCACAGCTAGCCAAGAGCGGAAACAAGGCAAATGTGCATGCAGCCATTTGTTCATACCTTTTTGACGCCCACGGCTAACCAAAAGTGGGAGCAACTGAACAAGGCAAGGAATTGCTTAAAGGAAGTGGGGGCTGGACTAGATCAAACAGAAGAAAAGAAACCCATTGTTTCATTTTATTTTTATTTTTTTGCCCTAACATTGCCTAGAGCAAAACTAATCTGCCTTTAAGTATCATTATTATAGATTGGCAGGTAAAAGGTTTACAGAACAGACTAAAAACAACATGATAAAAAGAAGAAAGAACAGCCAAAATATACAATGTTAAGCTTTATATATCAACTTTGCACTCTGGAGATCCAAGCAAAGGCACTTGGCCCACAAAGCCTTTCTTCACCCCAACCAACATATCACATTTCACATATATCCCATAATGCCCAGTCCTTATAGCCCCAGCCTTATATTTCAGCTTCCCTAGCAAAATCAGCCTCAAACCCATCACCCCATAAGTCTCGTCCATCACCAACCCATTTGCCACCTCCACCGAAACTGGCACGGCAGCCCCGCCCAGTACCGGCGACAGCGCCACCGTGCTGTGCTTTCGATGACACAGAGGTGGCAGCATCACTGGCGGCGTGATCGCCTGGTTCTTGTACGACACGAAAGCTGAAAGCTGGTCGTAGAAGATGGAGACTCGTTTGTTGGGGTTTCTAGTGACGATGGTGAACTGCATGGTGACGGACAGGAACGGTGGGGCCGTGGTGTTGAGATAATAGATGGCCGCGCTGACAACTGTGAACTTTGGCTTGTGGGGACGATACACTAACCACACTACCAGGGCTATGATACCTACTAGCAAAAGGAAGACAACCATACAAGAGCACAAGGCACGGCCTGCATGTTTAGGCGCGTAGGGGGAAGCCATGGGGGTATCTTTTTTGTGCTTGTCCTAGGTCATTTCGGCCGGTGGTTGTTTCTTTTCCGGTCCGATCTCTTCTGCCATGAAAACAAGGTTTTTATAAAGTTATATAGAGGGAGAGAGAGAGAGAGAATGGTGGGTGCGTGGTGATCGTGGGGGGTGCACAATAGGAAAGGTGGAAGAAGAAGAAGAATATGTGGNCCGTGCTGTGCTTTCGATGACACAGAGGTGGCAGCATCACTGGCGGCGTGATCGCCTGGTTCTTGTACGACACGAAAGCTGAAAGCTGGTCGTAGAAGATGGAGACTCGTTTGTTGGGGTTTCTAGTGACGATGGTGAACTGCATGGTGACGGACAGGAACGGTGGGGCCGCGGTGTTGAGATAATAGATGGCCGCGCTGACAACTGTGAACTTTGGCTTGTGGGGACGATACACTAACCACACTACCAGGGCTATGATACCTACTAGCAAAAGGAAGACAACCATACAANTAATAGATGGCCGCGCTGACAACTGTGAACTTTGGCTTGTGGGGACGATACACTAACCACACTACCAGGGCTATGATACCTACTAGCAAAAGGAAGAAAACCATACACGAGCACAAGGCACGGCCTACTTGTTTAGGCGCGTAGGGGGAAGCCATGGGGGTATCTTTTTTGTGCTTGTCCTCGGTCATTTCGGCCAGTGGTTGTTTCTTTTCTGGTCCGATCTCTTCTGCCATGGAAACAATGTTTTTATAAAGGTATATAGAGGGAGAGAGAGAGAGAGAGAATGGTGGGTGGGAGGTGATCGTGGGGGGTGCACAATAGGAAAGGTGGAAGAAGAAGAAGAATATGAGGACAAGTGGAACAGAAAAAAGAGGGGAAAGGGACAGGAAAAATGTATATATTCCAAACTAAAGTTGTTTTCTTTCAATTAATTTTATTTGAACCATTGGGAGGGTCTTCACTTTCGCACTCTTCCATTTTTGTTATGTATGTTTTTTTTTCTTTCTCCTGATGACATTTTTTTTAGGTTAATAGTATTTTTTATTTTTAAAATATATATATTTTGCTAATTTATTCCTCATTATTTAATTTTATTTATCAATGTGATCCTTAAAGTATTTCATCCGCACTACTTTGATCCCTATTCAAACAATTCATTAAGTTTTTTGACGAAAACGACTACGTGTCATTATTTTTAGAGAGTATAACATGTCATCATTTTGTCAAAAATTTAAAAGTTTGTCTATACAGAGATTAAAATGATACAAATTAAAAAGTTTGGAAACTAAATCGACAAAAAGTGATACAATAAAATTTAAAACGAGAAAAAATACATATTTTAAGGACTAAATATACTATTAACCCCTTTTTTTTCTTTTCCTTTTTCTTTGCCATTAATTTGCTTTACTTTGTCATTACTCTTTACATAAAAGATTGGAAAGAAAAACCCGATAAAATCTTTATGGCTTATGCACTTGTACCCTACTTTAGGTCAAAAAAGGGGAAAGATAAACTTCCACCGATGACAAATGTGATAAGCTATTGCCCTGCAAGATTAAATAAAGTAGGTGATGGGTCGTTTGGTTGAAATATTAAATGATAGATTATATAGTCATAACAGTTTAATACTCTCTAATCTAACATTATGCTATATTTAGTTTGTCAAAAACAATCTATATTATATATAATTTTATTTCAAATATTTATCTAAATAATACATTCTCTAATGCTTTCTAACACTTCTTATTTTATAGGCAACACCTACGTTTCAGCCTCTAAGTCTCTAACCTACTAGTTACTCTCCATTAGTCCCAGTATAAAAGAAGAGAAATCCTTATCATATATCCAAGCTACTTGATATTGTTTTTTCGTATATATTATAGTTGATCATCTATCAATGAAGGCCAGATACAAACTTTGACCAGTTGATCTAAGTACTTTTTTTTTCCTTCTATGAGAAAAAGCATCACAGTCCCAGTCAACCAAATTTGAGATATAATTTTTTTTTCAACCTCATTAATTTAATTAATCTCTACACCACTGGTTTTCTTTCTAAATCCATGGGTATGTCAAGTGGATTGAAATTGTTTGGAACAAATATTGGTAAAGGAAGTTTAGAGAAAACAAATATTAGCGAATTCAATTATATATGGATTAGATAAATTTCATTATTGAATCCCAGTTTTGGATTTGGCATGGATGACTAAATCGTACGTTGTTTAAAGGATATGTTGCCGATGATTGATCAAGAGTGGGTGGCTACTGGCTAAGGGCGATCCTTCCTGAAAAGGTTTAGAAAATCCTTTTCATCATACTATTAATTGATCTTCTGAAATTCTTTATTTAAGAGCCTTTTATTATATGTATGTAGGGTGTCTCATTCGCACCGCAAGACAAAAATGCAAAATCTTCAAGTTTCGGCTGCTGCCTTGGTTAGTCGGTACGATGCCTTGTATCAGTTGTACTGGGACTTATATAATTCATGCCTCGTCACCAGGCCACTGGGATCCAAATTCCAAAAGCACACGTATGAATGCCATATTGCACTAACTTCCATTACTTTCCATGCAACAATTTCCTTGAAGATGCTTTCCTTCATTTTGTAGTCGGTGTAATAAGTTAGGATTTCCTTCCAACAAGGGTAAGAGTTTATTCATCAATCTAACTAATACCTTACATATTCAAATATCAATATTCGCCATCCCTTCAAAATAACAATAAGAATTAAAGAAATATATATATTTTAACCCAACCAACCCACTCACTTCCATGAAGATAGAACAATGTATATATATATATACACACACAAAAGAAACTGAGGCTGGATCAGCACACTTAAATAATCACAACACTACCCCCCTTAACATGAAAAATATCAAGTTGAAACCTCAGCTACGTCAGATAAACTTGCATGCGTTTCCCTTTCATTGTCTCATTACATTACACGCTCCTATATATTAGCTCTCATTATACAAAAACACACAAACAACCTGAACACCAAACAGTCACATTTTCTTCCTACAAATGCTACCAAGTCATTAGGAAAACAAACTTTTGCAGCATTCCATAGAAGGGATGAAGCAAAAGAGCCTTGGCAAGTCTCACGGGCCGCCATCAAAATCAGTGGGAGAAGATCCAATTTGCACCAGACGCACAAACTGTCCTTTCACACGAGTCCGCCGCTCAGCAAGTCTTTTCCTGCTTTGATATTGAACCTGTGGATGGAAATTTCACAATGAAGAATCTAAAATATCTATATACATGGATCATGNGACGCCCCTCAGCAAGTCTTTTCCTGCTTTGATATCGAACCTGTGGATGGAAATTTCACAATGAAGAATCTAAAATATCTATATACATGGATCATGCCTTACATATGATGTTTTCACCACAATCAACCACAGGTATGCATATCCGTATAAGAATTACATGTGGAATTCCACACCATTATCTTCACTTATACAATAAAAAAGAAAAAGTTGATGATGAAATCACCACGAGAGTAGTGATGGCACTCGATCACCGTACCATGATGCATTAATACCAAATAAGTATCAAAAATATGCCTGGGACAGAGTTCTGTCATTAAAATCGTTCATTCATCCATGATGTCACATGGCCAATTCAAGAAATATAATGAAGAACATACCTTCTTCTCATAGCATCGATCTTTTCGTTTCAAACGGAATTTTAATAGAGCTGCTTCCCTTTGAGTGGAGCAGAGAGAATCCACTCTTTTCAGCTCATCCTGAACAATGAGATGGCTGTCATTCACAGCAGCCTCAGAAATAATGCCTCTAGAAACTGATGCAACTGGAGTGGCATTGCCATCAACTGTATCGCATATGTTTTCACACACACCGTTGGTAAGGTTACTGCTGACACCATCAAAGAAGCCACTGTCACCAATCAGACCAGGGGTCAATACTTCTGCCGGCTCCACATTGATATCTTCCTCTTGCACAGTCTGGCCGGCAGAGTGGTTGATAGTTTCATCAAAAGTGTGATTACCTTGTATTGAGTTGTTAATATCAGAAACAGAATGAAGTGAGTCACTCATCAGCAAAGGGGCCAGCTGGCCAGCTGATTTGGGACTCCACACTGGGGGAAACACTGAATGAGTATGAAGTATGGGCGGAAACATGTGACCATGGTAGGCACACAAACTATCAAACCTTTCCCGAGTGGTAGGAATGAAACTAAGTTGAGAGCCTGGAAATGCTGCTTTACTCTGTCTAGATTGGCTGCCAACCGTAGTGGTCATGTTTTCCCGACTACTACTCAAAGCACCATTATGTGACAAATATACACCAGAGTAGTTTTGAGGCAATTGATCAGAACTTGCAAGCTCCTTTGGTTCAGCACAATTACCGGTCCATGTTGGAAAAAGTGGTTGCAGAGTCTTCCTATTATCATACCTGCTGATAGAAATGAAGAGTTAATTACAATTCCACTATCAGGTGGCATTTAAAATTGAGTCACTTAACCGCACAAAATCTTGTTTCACCAGATGAAATGAATATTTCAGTGAGGACACCAACACAAACCTTGCTTTGGGTGCATGCATTGAAATTACATATTTAAACCTTTTAAGATGAAGAATAAAACCAGGTAAGAAAGCATCCAGGAAGGAATAAGAATAAAAAAACAGACATGTTCTTGATAACACCAAACAACACGACATTTTGCAAAACAATACAGATAAAAATATATAAACAGTTGAGGCCATGGAGGTAAGCATATTGGGTAAACAAATATACTTCATCGACACCACACAATCTTCACCATCATTGTCACCTCCACAACCATCTTCATTGACAACCATATTACTGCTATGGAGTCTGCAGACATCTAAGCAAGACAATAGTGCAAAATACATGTATAAATTTACATATATAGAGGTCAACATATCAGGCAAAATATAGTCTTCATTGACATAACATAATATTTGCCATTATGGTCATCACCACAGGTCCACAACTATATTCATTGCCAGCTACGCTACCTGTGCGGAGGCTACTGACTTTAATGTTAGACAGCCGCTCGGCTCCACCATAAGAACAGTGACCCTATTACCATCACCACTGACAGGATGGCACTACACCAACAGTCAACTTGTTTTGTTTTGTTTTTATTTGGTACACTGATCGTCAATAAGTGTATAACACATGCACTTTTACAATAAAACAGAAGGCAGTGAGAAACAATTGAAAGCATGGGTACTCTGAAAAAAAATAACCCAATGTTGCCTTTTTCAAATCTCAACTTCAGCACCATCCAGATATGACTATATGACTGTACTAAGAACCATCCAGATATGACTATACTAAGATTATTGAAAGAGTGACTTGCCGTGAAAAGGCAGAGACGTTGGAGTGGTGTAGAGTATGCCGTTGGTTAGTCCGTACATCTTTTGAGCAACTGGGATAGGATCCTCTCAAAGAAAGTTCTAAGTATGGAGCAACACTGCCGGAACATCCAGCAATGTCTGTTGGGTTGTATTCAAATTTGCTGATCAAGTCAATGGCTTCACTTGAGGGCTCAACAAGTTCATCAGTGCACCGGTCATTCTCACCAATGATATTTCTGTAGTCTCCATAACTTTCTAGACACACACCTGCATTTTTATTCAATGTATGGTCTTCTCCCGATCTGAGTCCAGTTGTACTATAACGTTCATTGCATGAAGCAACATCTGATCCAGACACACTTGATTTTCCTGTAAAAAATCGTGTTCTCAGATGCCCGAGCTGATAAATGGTAGACTAATGATTAGTGCAATACTAGCACCGGAAGGAAAAGAAAAGATGTGACACACCTCCTGTTTCATTATTAGACATAAGCAATTTCTCAACTAATTCTCCACATGCTTCATGCCTTGCTATATTGCTTTCATCAGATGATGCTCTTTCAAAATTTATCTGTGACAAACCCTGCATATTTTCCACGTATGCATCCTCAGCTTCCAAGTAAAGCATTGTACAAGAGCTCTGCACAAGAGGTGACAACATGCAATCTTTGTAAAACTTCATGAAGCCAACCTAATCTGAGAAAAAATTTACTCGATATATTAGTGGCTCCATATACACCACAACATTGATCTGGGAATGTAAAGAGAAAAGAAAACTAAATTCCTTCATGGTCAATTGTGCAATCCAAGTCCAGAATAGATTAAATCATTCTGCACTAAACGACTCAAAAACAGATACTAAAAGGTAGTTACTTCCTTTGTTTCACTGCATTAACAATAGACGTACACCAAAGATCTTAAACACTCGCTAGCAGAAAATTTCCATGCAAAAACCCCAAAAAAAACAGCATTCCTAGCAGCAATAGATTCAAAACGATATACGGCAGAGAAATTGTACATTTGTACTACTTTACTTAGGTCTACAAGATGAATCAATACTCACTTCAGCATCACTTCCTTTCTGGCTGCATTCATTTATTTTCTTGGTAGAAGTCAGACAATCACTCGAATGATTGCTTGAAGCATTGTTTTCAGAGACGGCTTCAACTTCGCGTTTTGCAGCTGTTCTATTGTGAGGAACATGCCCAGCAGTTTGCTATTCAAATCAAGGTTCCATTTTGAATCATATAAACAGAACCAAAACACAGTACGAAAAGGAAAAGATAAGTGCGAAAATGGAGCATACCATTTGTCTTCTCCAAACATGCTGCCATAGGTTCTTCAGCTCATTCCTCCTCACAGGCTTAATGAGAAAGTCAGCAGCGCCTTTTAACATGCATTTCAAGACCACACTAATTGAATCATGAGACGACATCACTGCATTATCACAAGTATTTAAGAGTTGTGTAAGCCCACACTCAAGTAATGTCAAATATCGAACTGATGAAACAGAAAAACAGTAAATATTTGGTCATGACAGCATACTGATAACTGGAATATTTTTGCAAATGTCATGCTCCATAATTAAGGTGAGAAGCGCATATCCAGAGATCGATGGCAACTCCACTTCCGTCAATATGAGGTCTATCTTGTCAGTTCCCCCTTTTAATGTCTCCCATGCCTTTAAACCATCAGGGACAGCAGCAACTGCTCAAGCAAACATAGTACTTTTGATTAGGTCCAGAAGCCCAAGCCCTCACAAGTTCAAGATGTCATAACCCATGTGATAACTTGTATTCATATGCTGAACAAAATAAACATAAGAAACAAATGGGTGTTGACAACAGGACTTGTGCATTGAAAAATTGCAAGGGTAAAATGGTTCTCCAACAGGAATAAGAAAATTCTATCACAATAAAGCACATATTTAAGTTTTCAAATTGATCCACCTTGTTGATTGGAGGATTGAATCAAGGTAGCAATGACAGTGAAGAAACCATTTGAAAAATGTAAAATAAAATGAAATCTTGTATATGGTATTTGACAAACATTCACATGGAAACACAACATCATTAGAGTCTGGAATTATACCATCAATAACACTAGTTGGGATAAGCACACACAAGAGGGACATNAAAATAAAATGAAATCTTGTATATGGTATTTGACAAACATTCACATGGAAACACAACATCATTAGAGTCTGGAGTTATACCATCCATAACACTAGTTGGGATAAGCACACACAAGAGGGACATTTGAAGCAGACAGATATCTCTATTGGTCAAGCATGGCTATGTTCAACCAAAATTAACGAAACTTATTGAAAATTAAATCCAAACTACAAAATATATAGCAGTATAATCACTCAGGTGAGCTGTTCATGACTTAATATGTGCAAGGTCACTGTGCTGTTACATGAATCATACTCTATCAAGACCAACTCCGTACCCAGTCAAACAGAACAAGTATCATAATTTTCACACGTTTAATCCCCCAATGAATGAGAATGACCCTCAGATGCTCTTGCTGTCTATGACATGAGAACAATCAGGGACAATGCTGAAGTTGGTCATAATTATTGAAACTCTTGAGCAACTTTATCATTGATCATCAGACCATGTATGTTAAGAAAACTGAAATGTAAAGAAAATTACGAAAACTAAAATAAGACTAGGAACAGTCCACAAGGCTACTAGGAGTCGAAAGTCAAACGCTCCCTATTAGCCAGCCAACCTAAACAAGATTGATTTTTCATTTGTAACCCAATTGCAAGCACAAAAACAAAACTTCTTGATAAAAAGAAAGAAGCACAAAAAAAAAATAAAGTAAGAGGAGGAAAGCACCTGTGTAATTGCATTTACGAAGCAAAGCAGCAATGATCTGACGAGTGGAGTCGTCTGCTTCTACCAGCAGAACTCTAAGAAGCATCCGAGGAAGATTAAGATAACTCTCCCGCTTACTCATATCCGATAACGAGCTTTCTTTCTTGTTCGTCTTCTTTTTCTCCTCATTTTCCTTCTTCAGTTCCACGTCCATCCTTTCTTCTTCGCCGCTCGACACTATTTTCACTTATTTTCCACATCCAAGAAGCACAACGTTCCAACAATAAGCAAACCGAAAACAAAACAAAACAAAACAAAAGCCCTAATTTGTGGTCAGCCACAAGTTGAAACAGTAGTACGTAGGAACGAAGTAGGTCCAGCAAAATCCATTTCTCCTTCGTTGTCTGTCAGCAATAATTTTTGGACAAAACCAAAAAAGTAAACTATCTACAAAGTGGAAAGCCGCTAAACTACTTAATGGATCATAATCGATACACACAGTCTTCCTTCCTTCCTATGACGATGGACAGACTCTCTCGCTCTCTCCCTCTCTCTCTCTTGTCTCTGTGTGTGTGTCTATGTATGAGTAATAAATCTGGTGCAAAAGTCCCGTCGCTAGTCGAACGATGTCTTACAAGGAGCTTATCAAAAGGTGGGTAGCCATTGGCTTTTGGTTGATGAAGATGAGCTGGTGCATTTCTCGTCACCCATTTTGATTTTGATTTTGATTTTAGCCAGAACCGGTTGTAGTGTGTGGGTCCGGCGGGAACATATTGTGGTCATTGATCGTCCTCCAGAGCGTGGGTAGACCCACACAGAGGGAGGTGGGAACGTAGTAGAGAAATTATTAGAGAGAGAGAGAGGGGTAGATATTTTTTTTCTGAGTGTTGCCACGTCCATTTTTTGTCCAGTGGTCAGAAGTTTGACACGTGGGATGCTGATTGTGATTCAATTTTCTTCCCTTGTCAAACGAAAAAATATTGGAATTATTNGGTTGTAATGTGTGGGTCCGGCGGGAACATATTGTGGTCATTGATCGTCCTCCAGAGCGTGGGTGGACCCACAGAGGGAGGTGGGAACGTAGTAGATTATTATTAGAGAGAGAGAGAGGGGTAGATATTTTTTTTCTGAGTGTTGCCACGCCCATTTTTTGTCCAGTGGTCAGAAGTTTGACACGTGGGATGCTGATTGTGATTCAATTTTCTTCCCTTGTCAAACGAAAAAATATTGGAATTATTTATCTGTTTTTGTATGAAAAAAAAAAAAAATAATAATAATAATAATAACAACCAACCAAACTGGATGATAATCTTCTTTACTCATCAAACCAGCAAATAAGAATTTATTATATGGATTGGATGGGAGGTTAATCTTCTTCACTGGATGATGATGCAGTTGGTAGCTTCTTCCGACTATGTGTGCTAGCCAGCCAGCTGTTCAAATTAATTGGAATAACTGCTGAAATGTAAGCCCAGCCCAGCCCACAAGCACATATGGTTTTGTTCCAATCTGCAGTCCAGTAACACTTGATCAATCAAGACAGTAGTACTTGGAACATAAATTTGTAAACAGAAATCCTGGTAGGTAAAACAAACAAGGACGAGGCATCTGCATTTCTAAGAAATAAATACTAGTCCCCCCGGCCCAGGCCCAGGCCCCTTTGGGGTTGCCATTTCAAACATACTATAGTCCAAACAACCAAGTTACAGTTACAATCAAAAGACAAATATGACCAAAGTTGAAATTAAAAAACGCACCTAGGCATGCACAAACAACATTAAAAATACATCTGATAGTAAAACTAGAGCTTGCCATCAGCAATTATATTATAATCTATACTATTTTTAAAAGTCCCAATGCATGAAAGCCTTTTTTCACTTTTATTCCCTGAAAACTACTATTATATCATCTTTATCCCTCAACTAGTGCAAAATCCGTTACTTTTCACCCATTAAATCTCTCTCTCTCTCTATCTTTTTGTATTCTTTAGCCGCTAGCCTTTCTCTCCCTCCCCCCCGGGGGCGCTTGCATATTCACAAATTGGCCGAGAATTAAAGTTAATGATCATNCCCTTTTTTCACTTTTATTCCCTGAAAACTACTATTATATCATCCTTATCCCTAAACTAGTGCAAAATCCGTTACTTTTCACCCATTAAATCTCTCTCTCTCTCTCTCTCTCTCTATCTTTTTGTATTCTTTAGCCGCTAGCCTTTCTCTCCCTCCCCCCGGGGGCGCTTGCATATTCACAAATTGGCCGAGAATTAAAGTTAATGATCATCTCTACCCAATTGCTTCCCATTCTGCGTCGTTATTGTCTCTCTGTCTCCCTATTTTTGAGTTGTTACTTTTTTTTTCTCTCTCTCTCTCTCTCCTGCATATTAACAAATTGACAAAGAAAAAATCATCCGTCTGTCTCTCCTCCGTAATCACACAGAAACCTAAAAAATCAAATAGGGCTTCATATTTGAAGGCTTTTGTTTGTGGGATTGTCCTTAATTTATCCAGTTTATTGTTTTTTTTAGACAATGGAGGTATTGTCACTGCACGAATTTGGGTATTGGATCATATGATGGTTCTTTTTTGACACATGGATTAATGGTTCTTGCTTTATATCATCTGTTTCAAGGGTTTTGATTCCTAGGTCTAGCTTAATTTACAAGCTTTGTTGTTGATTTTTCATTTTTGATACTTCAGGTTGAAGAATTTAATTAGTGGATACTGTCTAATTTGGTGTTATGTGGTTTTGTGGGTTATATGTGCAGGAGAGATTAAGCTTGTACGAAGAAAAGCTGCAACGGTGTATAAATTGGTGTAAATGTATGTTCTTATAACAAATTCCCTCTATTGCCCAAGTTTCTATTTCCATTCTGTTTTCTTCCCCAAAGAGCATTTCACATTTGTAATGTACTTACTACAAAGCAGAATAATAATAATATTATATAAGTTGAGAGACCGACAAGATCAAACCTCAAAAGTGTGCTTGTAATGACGACGTTTCATGAGTTGCTTCGCAATATTCTGAAGCTCGGAAATTGAGACTTTGCGGCCTTCGTTGACCCAATTCTGAAGCACAATAGTCTCGCTTCGTCGTGGGAATATAAGCCTTAATAATCTGTTCTTGAGGCCATTATTTTGGTACTTATTGAATGGTGTCGTTTCTTCGGCATTGATGAGACAATCCTCCAAAAGCTTGCATTACAGAAGGTTTCAATGCTGTAATTTTTTCCAGTTCCTGTAGGCAGTATCAGCAGAAAAAGCTTACCTCCCATGTAAAAAGAAGGCTAACTTTTGCCCTTTCCTTCCCAGTATTCACTAACTATAAAAAAAACAAGCAACAATTGCGTAAGCAAAGCACAAAATAAAAATCTGCTCAGTAACTCTAGCACCAAATAACAAAAGCATATGCTTCAATTAACCGTTTTTTTCTTCAATACATTAAAACAGAGGACAAAACTTTAGAATTCATCAATAGTTGATCAAAAAATTATTACTAACAAATGCTTTTCTTACTAAAATGAAGCTCTTCAGGTCATTAGCTTACAGTATCTCTGATGATCTACAACAAGCGAGGAGAATCATTGATATTTTGTTGGGTTCCAAACTTAACATGTGACAAGAGAATAAAATATAGAAGTAAAATTTGCATAATGTATAAACAAAAACAGTGGTAGGAAGGTTGCTTTCTTGATAGTTATGAGGTAAAAATGGTGATATTTGTCGACAAAATACTTTTAGCTCTAGATCTGGTTCACCTGGAGTTCAGAAAAATATTGTCATCAGAACATTCTCTGAGATGAATACCTTTTTGTTTCGACAAAAGGATATGTAACATGATCAGTGGAATGCTCTTGATAGTTATGAGGAAATAGTGCATGATCAGTGGAATGCTGGCCATTCAAATTCCAGCCCCGTGATGATATACCCTGATCGCCAGATTTTCTGTGAGATAAAGACCAAATAAAGGTAATAACATCAATGTTTTTTACTTACGGAAAAAAAAAAAATCAATGCTTTTAACTCCAAAAAAACATTATTTGAAGCATGCTTGGAATTTAGGGGTAAATACATAACTGAGAGTATTTATGTAGACACGCACACACACACACATATATATAGATATATGGATAAGTACCTTCTGAGATTGGGGAAGATCGAGCGGAGCTCCATAGTAGCTCTTTGGTGGGTGTTCCCCAAACCAGTTCTATTTAAAGAAATTAATTGATGGGTATTGCCAAATTTTGAGTTATGTGATTTTTTGGGTTATGTGTAAGAGAGATTAAGCTTGTATGAATAAAAATTGCAACGGTGCATAAATTTGAGTAAAGGTGTGTTTCACAGTTCATCACTTTTCTTTTTTTTTTCCAGACTAAATAAATTTTTTAAAAGTATCATTGTCACTTGATAGAATGTGGGCAATTAAGATGTGAATCGATTGGTGAGAAAATGTAGTTAACAAAAACAAAAGGGTTAGAGGGGATATGTGAAATGTAGGACAATGTCGTGTGTTGGAATTATCTTTTATATGCGAATTTATTTTTCCTCCATTTAGGCTTGCATGANTCTTTCATGTCAGCAGGATTGGCTAAACTCAATGGACTGGCAAGTGAAACCAACATGCAGGTAATTTTTACAAGTAATTTTAAAATTTGTAATCATTCCCTTTCATTTTGTGCTTAATTATAAGTACTTTATAATACATTAGTGCAAATTTCATTTGTAAAATTTATACAAANGGTTAAATATTGTTTTGCCTGATGTGATCTCAAAGTGGAAAAGATTACTAGCCAATGGCTATACCATAATTGTTATCTCTTTATCGACAGAAATTACTACGGAATTGACAATTGTCAACGAAGAATATATGTAAAGAGACACAAACTCGAATATCTAAGATATTTTAACTATATGTCTTAATGAATGACAACTCGTTGTCCTTAGAATCCCTTTATAATACATCTATCATACGGAAAAAAGCTTTTGCTCTAAAACTACAAAAGAAGGCACCTTCTATAGGCTATGACATAAAAGAAAAGAAAATAGAAATTTGTAGGTTCTCTTCTCAAGCATNTCACCAAGCCCGAATTCTGGATAAGCTCTTTTTTATAGCATTCATGAATTTTTTTTTGTTTGTTGACTCAAGTGGGAAGAGCAAAATAAATTGTTGTGTACTTTGAAATAATGTTCTTATTAAGGCTTTTGTTAGTTGTGGCTAAACGGAAAATTAGTCGAGACTATAAAAAAAGAATTATACAATAACATCAAACATAGCATTCTGGAGAGGATAAAGAAGCAATTATTTGTGGAGTCATCTAAATGTGGAAAATGTGTACTAATTGTTGGATACTTGTCCATTCTTTTTTTTTTGTTCGGAAAATATCATTATATAAATAGATTCTAGACGGCCATCAATATGTTCCTATGATGACTTTGTTCTAATTTTCAAGTATTCTGTGTGTTTTAACCTTTAGATGGTTCATCCTACATTGATCGTAGTGTTTTAATTCCTATTGCATGCTTTCTTGACTAAACTAACACTTTTGTATCGTCCTGATTCCACTATTTATCTAATATATGTGATTCTTCAAGAATAGCTTGATATGCATTTATGATCAGTTGGATGTCTTCTCTCTCTCATACACACTTGTAGGATATTTATGATAGAACTAACTTTAAATGATATGTTGAAACCACAGAAGAAACATATGTTTACTGTCGGCTAATAGCATGTATGGAAAGAGGATCATGTTCCTTGTATAATAGATGCCTAATTGTTTTCTGTTGGCCTCGGAGAATTTTTCCTAATGCTTTTGGCCATTCTGCAATTGAATAACTGACATGGTTTGTATTTTTAAATAGAGCTTATGAACTGAGTTCTGCTTCAAATTTATGGTTGACTTTGGAGGTAATTGATGATTGTTGTTGAGTTCTGCCAAACATTCTTCAGTGTGGAAGGATTTGGAAAGTCATTATATTTATTGTATCATGTATAGTTACGTGTTTCAACCTTTAAATTATGGGTGAAACCAGAATCTTGAACATTTAATCAACTTTTGAATGAGGAGATGCATTCCCTTAGTTTCCTATACCCTTGTCAGGTTCGTGGAGTATAATCCACCTACTGGAAATGCTCTGGAGGGTGCAAAGAGAGATCCATTTAGGGGTGTCCATGGGTCGGGCTGGTTTAGGCCTGCGAAAATTTTTTTTGGGTTGGGTTGGATAATGTAAGCACAAACCCTTACCCAAGTAAATTATCGAGCAGGCTGGACCGGGTTTCGGATAAGGATAGCCTACCCACATCTTAACCTACAAGCCCATTGGACTGGCTTTCTAGACGGACTTGTTCGCGGGTTTTTTTATATATAACTTTATTTAAAAATAATAAATATTTTTGTAATTTAATATTTATGTAAATTGTATTTTAGAATCAAAAGTAGAGTCAAAATGAATAAAAATAAAATAATTAATAATTTTATTTTTAATTAGGGGATGAACTACATCTAGAAAGAATACATCTCAACTAGATTGACACCTATTCACTTATTTTATCATTTGNCAACTAGATTGACACATATTCACTTATTTTATTAATGGGACATTTCCAAGTACTCCAAGATGAAGCCACGTGTCCTCGGCATCAGTAAATTTTTTTTCTATAAACGCAACACGTACCCGTCAGATCACAAGTCCCTGTTCCCCTGAGGTACTGTTCATAGGGATCAATGACATCTAGTACATTTTACATACTGACACGTATCCCTCGGGGTCGGATAGAGTACATTGGTCCTACATGTACCAACCTCCCTCGGTACCGAGATGTACCCCCCGTCCAGGATGACATTCTCTGCTCCTGCAGAGGCTATTGATGTACAGGTCACTAGCCTAGGCTAGACTAAGTTAGCCATCATGACCTCGTCTTACACAATTGGTGTTAGAAGGCACAAGAAGGCAGGGAACACAACTAATGGGGAATGGACACGTGACATATTGTGTCACGTCAGAGACAAAAAGACTGGATGTCCTTGCTGACACGCGACTTGGTAAAGCAAGCATTTAATTACACTATTCCCTTCGTGAGACAGCATTTAATACGGTAAGACTCAGAAGTGAAAGATAATAAATGTCCCTAAGGCTGGACATTTATTACATCCTTGCTGAGAAGAGCTCATTAAACAGTCGGCAGACCGATGACACAGTCTTGGTTGCTTGGGATCCCGAGCAGTTAAAAGAGAAGACATTCCTCATAGGAATCAGTGCGCACGTTGCCCATATCTAATGATCACCTATTGACCACATTGACAACAATCATGAGTATTTGAGGTATAAATACTCCTCACAAAAGACAAGAGGAAAAACAAGGTGAAACCTTGGCTAAAACTTATACTCAGTGTTTTCTTCTTCCTCTCTCTCAAAAACTGACTTGACCATCGGAGGGGATACACCGGAAAACACTCCGGCGCCCTTCTAACTTGTCTTTCTTTGTTCCAGGAACCTTCCTCAGCCTTACTAGATCGTTCCGTTGATCCACTAGGGTCTCCCATTATCGTTTCAGGTTACCACCGGACCTCACAGGCTGTTCCAAATAGTAGGGTTGACCACTCGATTGACTCACTCGAGTTCACCAAGGGAGAGATCTGTTCTCGTGTTTATATTGTGCAAGATTTAGCACGCACATTTATCATTTGCATTACTCTATTATTTAAAATCTATATACTTAATACGTGAAAAATAAAATAATACATTATTTATAGTATTTAAATTTTTAAAATTTCAAATTCCAACATTAGTAAATTTATTTTAAAATTTCAAATTTAATGTTTTAAAAATATCACTTTTTTTCGAAAAAAGAGAAGGCAAGATATGTGGGCGAGTTGGGCTTAATAGACGAGCTCTTGAGCTGGGCTTCAGGTTGGGTAATAAGTTTGAGGACAAATTCAAACCCTCTTTTTAAATATATTGGACACAGACTCGAACAGATTAACTATCAAACCTATCAAATTTCGGATCTATTTTTTTTAGACCGGGTAACAAAACCAGTGAATAACCCAACCCATAGACACCCTTAGATCCACTTGTAGTCACACACATGGACATTTATGTAGGGTGGGATAATTTCTCTAGGTGAGGTTTCCTAGCTATGTCTGTGTAGTGATTTATTATTGGTTTAAACAATATTGTCAACATAAAGAATACTTTTACTAAGGGTTATCTTTATAATTTCAAAGGAACAATAGTTATTCTTCTTCCATTTTGTTAATCTTTCTTTTTATTTTGCTTGTCGTATATTTTGGTCATAAAAAAAAAAAGACAGTTAACAATCTTTACCATTAATTAAAAAAAAAAAAAATTAATATGATAATAGTCCACGTGCAACGCACGTGCGCACCAACTAATAGATAAAACGGAACCATGCATCCCTCCTTGAAGTATTGGAAACCAGCTCTAAGTGTCAATGGACAACCGGTCTTCAGGGGTTAGACATGAGCAGTGCCTTCGGTAAACTTGGGATCCTCGCATCTATACCTACCATCAGCTCCAATTCCAAAACCTCTTGGATCTGCAAATACATTCTCCAGAAGCTGGCTACGAGATGGAGCAGGGCTCTCATCTGCAAACTCAACAGCATTCTCAACCAACTCCTCTATCTTCTTCACTATGGCCTTTAATTCTGCTTCACTGGCCAGATTGTTTTCAATCATGTAATTCTTCAATCCTGTGATGGGATCTCGAGCAGCATAGTGAGCCTTCTCAGCTGCCAAAAATGTACATATATTTAGCTGAAACTATACAACCTCTGAAGATAACAATTAGGATAAATCCATCCATCTCCTTGGTGCTATAAAAACAGATTTATATACATTAATCCACAAGCATGCAACATCCCTCAATCAAAAATAAATAAATGCAGTATCTCAAAACACCAAACCTTATAACCTAGAATTAAAGATTAAAGAAATATCAAGAGTATTAAAGATGATATCTTGAACTTTTGAAGGCAATATAATGATCGTAAGGCACCCACATAATCACATCCCCAATTGACCAAAAAAAAAAAAAATCTCATGTAGTACAACAGTTCAAGAATCAGCCAGTCATGACACTGCTAGTAGCTGAACATTATCAAACACAAATTGTAAATCAAATTATTCAGATCTATTAGAACTTCAATTCTCTTTCTACTTGTTTTTTTAATGCGGAATGATAGATTCATCGCAACACACAGATTAATCATTCTTGAGTCCCTGACCACTACCATATCATTGACATCTAATACAGTTTTCAATTCATTCTCACAGGAGATAACAAAGACTGTGTTGTTAATTTGGATGGGAACATTCTTGTCCTGATCAATGCTACACTAGTATGCCAATTAAGAGTCATCCTCCAGACATAAGGAAACGACGTAATCCAAATCCATTTCACTAAATTTCAAAAGTAGCTATTAGAAATAATGGTTGAATTGANTAATTTGGATGGGAACATTCTTTTCCTGATCAATGCTACACTAGTATGCCAATTAAGAGTCATCCTCCAGCAGAAGGAAACAACGTAAACCAAATCCATTTCACTGAATTTCAAAAGTAGCTATTAGNAAATTTGGATGGGAACATTCTTGTCCTGATCAATGCTACACTAGTATGCCAATTAAGAGTCATCCTCCAGACAGAAGGAAACAACGTAAACCAAATCCATTTCACTGAATTTCAAAAGTAGCTATTAGAAATAATGGTTGAATTGATAAAAAAAAACAGAAGCAAGAGTGAATTTTCTGACGAAAGGGTAGATTTGAGCCTGGATTGTGAGTGTCAGCCTTCAATCCCGTTAACAAGTTACACCATATTAGGCGAAAATGGAAGACCTTAACAATGAATCCAAATTCGAGCACCGACTCCATTGAACCAAACTACAACTGTAAGTATTGTATAATCCTGTTTGTTTTCAGCGACCCCNCTGGATTGTGAGTGTCAGCCTTCAATCCCGTTAACAAGTTACACCATATTAGGCGAAAATGGAAGACCTTAACAATGAATCCAAATTTAAGCACTGACTCCATTGAACCGAACTACAACTGTAAGTATTGTATAATCCTGTTTGTTTTCAGCGACCCCTGTATGGTTNCGAGCACCGACTCCATTGAACCAAACTACAACTGTAAGTATTGTATAATCCTGTTTGTTTTCAGCGACCCCTGTATGGTTTTAAAATGCATTCAGACTAAAACAGCTTCCTTGGGACCCATCCTAGCCATGTAATAAGGAATTACTTCGGATTGTACCCACTACACTTCCACACTGTCCCAAATCACCATCCCACCAGACCAGGGAGCACTAACAGATGCATAGACTATGTGGCTTCCACATCATGAGGTTAATGACTCAGATACCATTTGTAACACTCCGGACCCCTATTATACCATATTTTTCCCTTTGAGCTAAAGCCACACCAATTTAAAACACGTTTTCTAATGATTCAAATCTCAATGTACTCCGCACACTTCATGTGGAATTGAGAAATGGGATTGAGTGAACACAATTAAACAGAAGGAAAATCCTATATAGAGCCATGCAAAAGAACATAAGTAAATTCAAATAAGCATACCAGGGTCACGCAGCTCATCGGGATCAGCCAAAGAGTGTCCTCTAAACCTGTAAGTCTCACATTCAACCAAAGTTGGGCCATCTCCTCTCCTAGCCCTGGAAATAGCCTCCTTAGCCACCTCCCTTACCTTCAAGACATCCATCCCATCAACATGAACCCCAGGCATCCCAAACGCCGGACCCTTCTTATAAATCTCCGGATCAGACGTGGCCCTCAAATGGGACATCCCAATAGCCCACAAATTGTTCTCCACAACAAACACAATTGGCAATTTCCACAATGCAGCCATGTTCAAGCACTCAAAGAACTGCCCATTGTTGCAAGTGCCATCCCCAAAAAAAGCCAAAGTCACATGGTCACAATCAGCCTCTTTCAAGACCTCCCTCCTGTACTTACTAGTGAAGGCCGCCCCGGTAGCCACCGGGATTCCTTCCCCAATAAATGCAAAACCCCCAAGAAGGTTGTGCTCTTTGGAGAACATATGCATAGACCCACCTTGGCCTCGGCAACAGCCAGTGGTCTTGCCGAAGAGCTCGCTCATCACGGCACGAGCAGGCACCCCTTTGCTCAAAGCGTGAACGTGATCGCGGTACGTGCTGACCACGCAATCTTCCTTCTTCAAGAGCTTGATGAACCCAGTGGAGACGGCTTCTTGGCCATTGTATAAATGGACGAATCCAAACATTTTGCCCCTGTAATACATCTGGGCACACATGTCTTCGAAGCCTCTGCCCAAAACCATGTCCTCATAGAGTTCCAAGCCTTCTTCTTTAGTAATGAGCTGCACAGATAGGCGCAATTACATATTTACATGCACATAAATAAATATACCCACAAATTACTCTCTAGCTCTAAATTGTTCGGATTCGTTTCGAGAATTGTAGAAACATTTTCATACCAGATTAGAGAGGGAGGTGTTGGATTTGAGCTTCTTTTCCTTGACGACATCGGAGACGGCCACCACAGTGGCGGATCGACGTTTCGCGAAGCGAGCTGAATTGGGTTCGTGGAGACGGAGCTTGTGGGTTGTTCCGAGAAAAGAGGAAGGGGTGGTTTTGCGAGGATGAAAGAGAGCATTCTCGGGAGATCTGGTAAGGGTGGTGTTGAGGGGTAAGGGTTGTATGATTTTGGTTGCAGAGAAAGCTGAAGCCATTGCTAGATTCCTAAGTGATGGTGATTGACAGATTGTTTTTTTTCCTTCCTGGGGTTGGGAAGAGAGGGGGGGGGGGGGGGGTTAACCNTTTCGAAAAAAGAGAAGGCAAGATATGTGGGCGAGTTGGGCTTAATAGACGAGCTCTTGAGCTGGGCTTCAGGTTGGGTAATAAGTTTGAGGACAAATTCAAACCCTCTTTTTAAATATATTGGACACAGACTCGAACAGATTAACTATCAAACCTATCAAATTTCGGATCTATTTTTTTTAGACCGGGTAACAAAACCAGTGAATAACCCAACCCATAGACACCCTTAGATCCACTTGTAGTCACACACATGGACATTTATGTAGGGTGGGATAATTTCTCTAGGTGAGGTTTCCTAGCTATGTCTGTGTAGTGATTTATTATTGGTTTAAACAATATTGTCAACATAAAGAATACTTTTACTAAGGGTTATCTTTGTAATTTCAAATTAACAATAGTTATTCTTTCTTTCATTTTGTTAATCTTTCTTTTTATTTTGGTTGTCGCATATTTTGGCCTTAAAAAAAAGATGGTTAACAATCTTTACCATTAATAAAAAAAAATAAATAAATATGATAATAGTCCACGTGCAACGCACGTGCACACCAACTAATAGATAAAAAGGAGCCATCCATCCGTCCTTCAAGTATTGGAAACCGGCTCTAGTGTCAATGGACAACCAGTCTTCAGGGGTTAGACATGAGCAGTGCCTTCGGTAAACTTGGGATCCTAGCATCTATACCTACCATCAGGTCCAATTCCAAAACCTCTTGGATCTGCAAATATATTCTCCAGAAGCTGGCTACGGGATGGAGCAGAGGGTGGGAAATGTGGAAATAACCGCCGAGAGCGTTGGTGGCGGCTGCTGCTGCTGCTTTGATTAAGGATGGATGAAAACAAAACAAAACAAAACGGAGGTGGAGGTTGGAGGCCACCCAACCCAACAACTGGCCCACGCACAGGACAAGACAACTCTCTCCTAGTCTTAAACCAACAATGTCTCCCATGTCCCATACCTTGTAATTTCAGCTAATTCATGACAGTCCATGTACTACTAGATTTTAAACATGTTCTATCCGTGTGCGCAAAATTTACTTGTCTTTCCTTTTCAGATTTCATCTTGAAATTATAGGTAGAAAAGAAACTTACCTATTCTTGGCAATCCACCGCACCCACAATTTGATTACATATTATGCACGGGATAGATTTTGCAATCTCGTAAGGTAGCGATCCCTTGACTGACAAACCTGAAAAAACAGGGTTAGAAAAAAGGGGGTCAGGCGTGAGCCCAGTCAATCTCCTCCGAAGCTTAAGTCAGTAAGATCAAAGGGATGTTTCTTAGTCAATGAGCTATGATTTGATTTTGCTTCCCTTTGTCCATTTTTCTGAGAGATATTTATACCTGAATTAACAATGATTGTTCTAAACCTTCAGTCTCATCTGGACATCTCATATATGACACACCTTCCCTCGTGCTGTGAATGCTTCCCCTTAACGTCTCCTCGAATTGAATGCTCAGGGAATGGTATAAGTGCTCGGCCGCAAGCCGAACATTTATACTACGAGCCGAGCAGCCCAATCCAAAAGGTCGGCGTCTGACACCGACAGGGCACGGACTACTCGATGGATCAGAGAACTTGGGAGAACCAATCACGTTGTTTCGGCGCATTAGTCATTAATACTCCAGTTANAAGGTCGGCGTCTGACACCGACAAGGCACGGACTACTCGATGGATCAGAAAACTTGGGAGAACCAATCACGTTGTTTCGGCGCATTAGTCATTAATACTCCAGTTATCATGACAGTAGGCATAGACTTGCAGAGAGCAATTGGTGGCAGCCCCGCATTTATTTGTCTTGTTACTATCNAAAGGGAAGAAGTGCGAAGAGAAGATGAAGAGAAGGGCGGAGAAAACGAGAGAGGGAGGAGGGTGGGAAATGTGGAAATAACCGCCGAGAGCGTTGGTGGCGGCTGCTGCTGCTTTGATTAAGGATGGATGAAAACAAAACAAAACAAAACGGAGGTGGAGGTTGGAGGCCACCCAACCCAACAACTGGCCCACGCACAGGACAAGACAACTCTCTCCTAGTCTTAAACCAACAATGTCTCCCATGTCCCATACCTTGTAATTTCAGCTAATTCATGACAGTCCATGTACTACTAGATTTTAAACATGTTCTATCCGTGTGCGCAAAATTTACTTGTCTTTCCTTTTCAGATTTCATCTTGAAATTATAGGTAGAAAAGAAACTTACCTATTCTTGGCAATCCACCGCACCCACAATTTGATTACATATTATGCACGGGATAGATTTTGCAATCTCGTAAGGTAGCGATCCCTTGACTGACAAACCTGAAAAAACAGGGTTAGAAAAAAGGGGGTCAGGCGTGAGCCCAGTCAATCTCCTCCGAAGCTTAAGTCAGTAAGATCAAAGGGATGTTTCTTAGTCAATGAGCTATGATTTGATTTTGCTTCCCTTTGTCCATTTTTCTGAGAGATATTTATACCTGAATTAACAATGATTGTTCTAAACCTTCAGTCTCATCTGGACATCTCATATATGACACACCTTCCCTCGTGCTGTGAATGCTTCCCCTTAACGTCTCCTCGAATTGAATGCTCAGGGAATGGTATAAGTGCTCGGCCGCAAGCCGAACATTTATACTACGAGCCGAGCAGCCCAATCCAAAAGGTCGGCGTCTGACACCGACAAGGCACGGACTACTCGATGGATCAGAAAACTTGGGAGAACCAATCACGTTGTTTCGGCGCATTAGTCATTAATACTCCAGTTATCATGACAGTAGGCATAGACTTGCAGAGAGCAATTGGTGGCAGCCCCGCATTTATTTGTCTTGTTACTATCACTCATCTCGCCATCAATGCGAGATCACATCGCTTTGACTATGATGCAAGTTGTTGTACTCGGCCGCTCTGTGTCACCATGTCTCGGCTCACCCCCTCGGCATCTTTCAGACATCCTAATGATTTTATTGGGTCACGTGTCACCCTGGGAGTTGAGGATCCACACAAGAGTCCCGCCATATTATATATTATGTAGATATANACGCACAGGACAAGACAACTCTCTCCTAGTCTTAAACCAACAATGTCTCCAATGTCCCATACCTTGTAATTTCAGCTAATTCACGACAGTCCATGTACTACTAGATTTTAAACATGTTCTATCCGTGTGCGCAAAATTTACTTGTCTTTGCTTTTCAGATTTCATCTTGAAATTATAGGTAGAAAAGAAACTTACCTATTCTTGGCANATTCATGACAGTCCATGTACTACTAGATTTTAAACATGTTCTATCCGTGTGCGCAAAATTTACTTGTCTTTCCTTTTCAGATTTCATCTTGAAATTATAGGTAGAAAAGAAACTTACCTATTCTTGGCAATCCACCGCACCCACAATTTGATTACATATTATGCACGGGATAGATTTTGCAATCTCGTAAGGTAGCGATCCCTTGACTGACAAACCTGAAAAAACAAGGTTAGAAAAAAGGGGGTCAGGCGTGAGCCCAGTCAATCTCCTCCGAAACTTAAGTCAGTAAGATCAAAGGGATGTTTCTTAGTCAATGAGCTATGATTTGATTTTGCTTNGGGTTAGAAAAAAGGGGGTCAGGCGTGAGCCCAGTCAATCTCCTCCGAAGCTTAAGTCAGTAAGATCAAAGGGATGTTTCTTAGTCAATGAGCTATGATTTGATTTTGCTTCCCTTTGTCCATTTTTCTGAGAGATATTTATACCTGAATTAACAATGATTGTTCTAAATCTTCAGTTTCATCTGAACATCTCATATATGACACACCTTCCCTCGTGCTGTGAATGCTTCCCCTTAACGCCTCCTCAAATTGAATGCTCAGGGAATGGTATAAGTGCTCGGCCGCAAGCCGAACATTTATACTACGAGCCGAGCAGCCCAATCCAAGAGGTCGGCGTCTGACACCGACAGGGCACGGACTACTCGATGGATCAGAGAACTTGGGAGAACCAATCACGTTGTTTCGGCGCATTAGTCATTAATACTCCAGTTATCATGACAGTAGACATAGACTTGAAGAGAGCAATTGGTGACAGCCCCGCATTTATTTGTCTTGTCACTATCACTCATTTTCGCCATCAATGCGAGATCACATCGCTTTGACTATGATGCCAGCTGTTGTACTCGGCCGCTCTGTGTCACCATGCCTCGGCTCACCCCCTCGGCATCTTTCAGACATCCTAATGATTTTATTGAGTCACGTGTCACCCTGGGAGTTGAGGATCCACACAAGAGTCCCGCCATATTATATATTATGTAGATATATGTGTCCAGTACATACATACGTCTAAATAAAGTCACAATTACTCATTTTTTAATTTGTGTTTTTTTTTGGGACCGATAGATAATCAATAGGTTTGATAGGCAACAACAAGCCTCCGAGCAAAAACCACAAACCAAACAAATACAATTTAGTTGAGTCAAGCATAGATATCAACTAAAAACTCTATAAATGCACAAAGAGACGGTCACAAAATACCTTCATAGTGAAATGAATACTGCACCGACGAGTTTTTGTAATGAGTTGAGATAGTGATATGTTGAATGATGAATCTGAACACAATCAAATGATTAAGAAAGGGATCGGGTGTATAATAGACTAATCCCCTCCAAAACTCAAGTCAATTGGCATTGAGGTCATGAGCGTAATATATTCTCTATTTTCAGATTGCGCACATTGGACTAGCTTTCTTCAGGGGTATTTATACTTGGGGTTACAATGATGATAGTGTCTTTGAGTCCCATCTTAGAATTTAATGACTTGCACTCATATTCTAACATAATGAGTGTTATTCCATAAAATCTTTTCAAGATTAGTCTCCTCGGGCAAGTGGACCTTTGCTCGAGAACCGCCAAGTATTCATGATTAATCCACTAGTCATTAAATACCTCGTCTCAATGCCTGATATCTACGTCCGAACATTCATTAGTCGGGAGCAAACACTCTTAAGATTGACCGAGAACTTCATGTCGGCGTAACAATCATTAAGGCGTTATTGTGATGACTGTCTTCACATTTTTCAAGAATCTGAACACTCATTAATAGTTCTATTATAGTCACTCAAGACCCCATTAATGAGTTGTCAGATCCCTTTTAATGTTAGNGTTGTAATGACTGTCTTCACATTTTTCAAGAATCTGAACACTCATTAATAGCTCTATTATAGTCACTCAAGACCCCATTAATGAGTTGTCAGATCCCTTTTAATGTTAGATTCTGAGGAGCGTACTCGACCCTTCCTAACATAACTCTTCGGCGTCTTTTTCAGGCACCCTTCGCACGCCTTAACAGTTGAAACCGCCCACGTGTCCATTCATTACTATCAAGCCGCCTAAAATCCCATCAAATCCATAGAGAACTCATGGCTCTTGAAGATGTTGCAACAGAAATAGCTTCTCTATGAAAGCACCATGATAGTCATCTTCGTTTTTGGAGTTCGTCTGTCTCCAGAATTTCCAAATCTAGTTTAGTTTTGTACCACTCATACAACCATTACTTTGTCCACCCTACATGCTGCCTCGCTCCCTACTACTTACTTTCACTTGGTTTCCTCACCCAAGCAATGAAATATCGTCTGGCTTTTAGATCCCTTTTTCTAATGATCCAGATAGCCCACCCACCAACCCAGTGCACGACCGACTACTTCAGAAATGGAGTTGGCCCTGTTCATTTATTGGGTACTATTGAAACAGTAAGTATGAAAAAAGAGGTTAGGAGCTATTAACATATAGGGATTCTTTATGAAGAAACTTAATTTCCAATATTACTAATATATGTTATTACTAAAAGCCATGTACAGAGCAGAGAATAAACATCAAAATAAATAGGTTACAATGGGTAATAATCTATGCATCGCAAATGTATTTAGGGTCATTCATCAACCCGTGTGGACTGCCTTGGGAAAAATCATTCTCCCAAGTCAGGATATGGCCTTAGATATGCCTTGTAAATTGTGGTGGACCAGTTTCAAAATCGACCACCCCACGTGACCCCAAGAAGCTATCATCGATGACTGCAATAGGATGATCAAAAGAACAAGGAATGTGGAATCACATATATATATATATATATATACAGACGTAAGTTAATGTGCAGATTGTCCGCCAAACTACTCTGAACACCTCTCGTGACTTCAATGAGATCTCCCTCACCCCATGGAAACAAACCCAAGCTCATCTGTTCCTCTCATCCGCAATCACAGTTCGTGTTGCTAAGCTTTGTTTGCATCGAACATCTTTCGGGCCTGTGGTCCCCAGTCATGTCAAAAAAAAAAATTGGCAAAATACTCCGTATCATGAGTCAAATGCATGATAATTATGTTACTGCTTCGTTGTTTTCTCCTTGCCTGCAAAAGCATTTCAGGTGCTTTAGAAATAAAAATAACAGAAGTTAGCATCTGAAACTTGGAATGATACCACAACTTACCAAATATATTTGGTTTCAGCGGGAATCGAATTGATGATCCTTTTACTTTCACCTCCCTAAGCGACCTGCTTCGACTTGATTTTTCGATTTTGGAGATACCACTGCTACTTTCTCCTTTTAAAAGATCAATTCCCTTCTTCACCTTTTCATGGTAGACAGCCGGCGGTGCAAGCCTCAGCTGAGGCACGTTTTCTATTTGGATCAATTTCTGGCCTTTCTGAAGATTGGTCAAAAGTTCAAACTGTAGCATCCAGGTTCCAATACGAAAGGTTATCATTAGGACAATCCCCCAGAAAACAAAAGGTAAGACAGACTACTAAAATATAATCCATTATTGACTCACCCTTGAGATTGGATGAATGCCATAGGAATTCTCAAATGTATCACTTTCATATGGGTGTAAAGAAATAGCCTTGTGTGCTTGGTGGGGTCCTGATGAAGACTTACTCAACAATCCGTTTTCTGCAAGTGCAGACTTGCTTCTAGACCTTTGACCCTTCTTCTTAGGAATACAAATGGGGCATCCTGCAGATGAGCCTTTATGTGATGCCTCACTTTCCTGAAGTTCACACTGAAGATGGGTTGCATGACCACAACTGAAAACTTGAATGCTAGAACCAGAGGAATTCTTTGTGAGGAGACAGTTACATATACTACATAAAAGGCTACGGGGAGCATAACCATGAGAGGCCCCCTTCTTGAGTAAGCTCATGGTATAAAATGTATCATCCTCGATCAAGCACTTGGCAGTGTCCTGAATTAATAAAGGGAATAGTTAGAAAAAAATTATTGAATTTGATCAATATACAACAATGCATTTCAACCTAATCAATTTCTAAATATGTAACCATATGAGAAATCAAAAGACAAAATATTGTTATTGGAGTAGAATCAATAAACACGTAACAAAAGGTAAATCAAAATTAACCAGCAAGCCACTGAAAACAAGGAACTGACACCCAAAAAGTTGTACACAGCATATACATATGCAATTCTACATAACACTACTCAATACTCAATTAACGTGGTCAATTTTCCCCTTTTCAGTTTGTGTGTGTGTAAACCCCAAATGCTATTTTTCCACCAACAGGTCATTTTAATGATGTGTCTAAAGAAATTACATGAAATTTATGTCTTATGTTGCCTTATTCTCTTCTGGAGAACAGTTTGACATGCTCAAAGCATTCCATTATGGAATTTATAAGTTTTCTTATATTAATCCAAAATGCATGATGATAAAAAGTTTCAGTGGTCTGTAGCATTACTTTTCCAGTTCCTCAGAATGCAATGAACCTTAAACAGCAGAAAAGCAGAAAAACAGCTAAAGTTGAAAAAGGAGGCATACCAAAATTCTTCTTTCAAAATCATATGTTCCAAGCATTCCCAATACAGTAGGTTTGAAATCACCAAACTCCTGGCTACCATTATCAGAGAGGAGTTTGAACATGATAGTTGGGAGGCGAACATAGCCAATCATTCCCTCAACAATCTCCTTAATAAACATGGAAAACAATTTCCTCAAAATATGAGCACCTTTGTGGGATTTTGGGACCTTCCACTTAATTTTGCATGCCACTTCATCTTCTTGCCTACCCAATGATACAGCTAAACCTTCCATGGGCCTTTTTCCTTCAGAAACCAGTTTACCTTCATAGGAATCGATCAAAGGCTCACAAAACCTGCATTGGTACAAAAACATCAGTTAGCACCGAACTAAGAAGAAGGGTAACAGGGTAACCATGCATGCGCAGGCATACACGTGCAAATCATTGTCATTGCATGCATATGCATCTATGCCACAACTGTCCTTGCCTCAGGTCATAGTTTTATTTTGCAACTATTAAGGGAGGGAAAAATGATAACAACAGAAACACCAAGTTAATTGGGTAGCTACCCAATATTGGATCTTACATTTAGTCTTTCAAGATCAGCACTGAGCTAAATTCTACTCAATCGCTATCCATTTCTCTTTTCTTTTATGTTTCTCACTTACTATACTAGGCTACTAGCAACCAGCACAGTGTAGCTCCCACTCTCTTCTAAATGTTTCATGTCAAATGTATCCAAGATTCCCTAATGCACAAGATTAAAGCAAAACAACTCCATGAACCCCCCCC